AGTTTTTTTTTTAAATTAAAAAAAAAAAAGACAATTTCTTCCTTATTTTTTGAGGAACAAATTTTGACCAGTCAAGCAAAGTAATCCTGTGTGATACTATTTTAATTATGATTAGACTTAAGAAAACTGATTCCCCTACAAACCAGATAAATGAACACATAGCCTCAGAAAAATAACATGCCAGAACAAAAATCTACATGACAGTGATATAGATCCTTATTAGACTATTAAAAATGCACCTCTAGTCCAAGAAGATCTAGCATAAAACTAAAGAATTGTGATTAAAAGAGAATAAGTTTTTAAACGTAAATTTTATATAAACTTAAGATCTGGAGTCTTTTTGACAGCCGAATTCCCCACCATCAAAGAACACAATGGATTTTGTAATAAAGTTTAAAGGCTTTCATTTGCATAAGGTAATCAAAGAATTGTCAGCAAAAATAAAAGCAAAATTCAATCTTTTCCTCACTTTTAGGTCTCCAAGGCTTTTACATTTTATATCTGTGCCATCTTTGCAGCTCAATCCCTTTAATAGTCAATTCCAACAATTTGCTGATTGTACTGGGATCTCCGATTGAAATTTCTTTCCTGGTCCTTCACCCTCTTGGTGTGACCCCTCCCCTCCTTAGCCTTCAACTTCGCAACCAAAAATATAACCATTCCCTTGTATATTCCCTCCTGCTGCATGCTCCTTGCTTGCTTCACTCTCTTGATCAAACCACAACCCTGGTTTATTGTAACTCTTCATCTACTCCTGCCTGTAAGGTTGAACGTGACTGGGGAAAAAAAACAAAAAACAAACAAACAAAAAAAACTCACACAAACACACAGGCTACACTCAGTTTATGACAATGAGTGCAAGTGGTCCCAGACACCATCTGACAACCACCCTGTATTTTGTTACTCTCACATTCTCCTGGAAGACTATTTCACATCTTCCCAAACTCCAAATACCACTTCCTTCATCCATACTCTGGTTGATGAGTTTGCTTCTTAGTTCACTGAGATTATTAAAGCAATCAGACAAGAATTTCCATAGTCCCCATCACATCTACTCAGCACCTGCAAGCGCATACTCAGATGAACCATGCACATACCTATCTAGAACCAACCCTTTCACTTGTACATTTAATCCTTCCCTTTTTGCCTTCAAGAATTTAGTTCCAGCTCTTCTCCCCTGTCACATATATCCCAAGTTTTTCACTCTATTGCAGCATGCCTATCAGCATAAAAACATGCTAATGCTTCTCTCATCTTAAAAGACAAAAACCCAGAGAACTCTTCACTCCACTTCAGCTACTGACACCCAACAATTCTATTTCTTTGGTCACCTTTAAGGCAAAACTTTTGAAAGAATAACCTATAACGCTTCCAATTCCTTTCTTTCCCCCACCCCCTCCACTACTGTCTGAAATGCTTTTGTCACCACCACCAACAGCCTCCACATTATAAATCCAATGGCGAGTTTTCAGCCCTCGTCTTATTCGATCAAGCTGCCGTATAGAAAACATCATCATGCTTTCCCCTTTGGCTTTATTCACTTCACTTCCAGGATGCCAAACACTGTTGATTTTCTTCCTTTCTTACTGATTGGACCTTCTTATCTCCCTTGTGGGCCTCTTCTTGCCAACCTCTTCATGTTGTAGGGGCCCAGAGTGCAGACACTGACCCTCTTCTGATCTCAGCCATCTTAATATGATTTTAAATACCATCCATATGCCAAAGATATATTAAGTTACCTTTACTGTTCTCTGCCTGTCCTCAACTCAAGATGAGTATATACAAAGGCTTAGTTGATATTTACACTTAAAATAGGTCTCTCTAGCTAGCAGGCCCATGACTGAACTCTAGAATTTTCCACTCAAAAGATGTTCTCCTGCAATATTGTCTGAATTGATGAAAACTACATTCTCCAAGTGGCTCAGGCTAAAGACCCTGGAGTCATCATAGAGCGTCTTTCTCAGATGCCAGACATCCAGTCTGTCAGCAAATTGTAAATTGGATGTCAGCAAATTGACTTTGACTACTTCTCACTATATCCACTGCCACCACTTTTGTTGGAACCATCTCTCACCTGTGTTACCACAGTAGCCTCTTCTCCATGTGTCAACTCTTTATCTCCTACTCTATTCACAACACAGCAGCTAGAGTGTTCCTTTGTATACCTGTTAGATCATGTGACTTCTCTGACAAAATGCTGTTATAGATCCACCTTTCTCTCAGAGAAAAAGCCACAGGTTTTGCATAATCTCTCCTTCCACCATTCTTCCCTTTGCTTACATTTCTAGCCATCCTTGCCTCCCTATTGTTCTTTAAAATAACCAGGTACATTCTTCAGGCCTTTGACTCAGCTTTTCTCACTGGAATACTCTTCTTCTGAACCAGGTGTTCTCAAAGGATGGGTCCCCTGGGATCTTTGCAGAAATGCAAATTCTCAGGCCTTACTGCAGACCTACTAAATCAGGGATTCTAGATGCGGCCAGCAATTTGTGATTTCAGAAGCCCTACAGGTGTTGCTATTACACCCTAAAACTAAGAACAACTGCCCTAGATATCTACATGGGCAACTTCCTTACTTCCTTCACGTCTTTGCTCAGCTGTCACTTTCTGAATGAAGCCTACTCTGAGTATCCTGTTTAAAATTGTACACTTCACTCCTTCTCCAGCACTGCACATTTCTATACTCTGCCCTCCTTTTTTTCATCACCCGTATCTTCCGAAATACTATAAAATGTATATTTTTATCATATTTTTTTGTCTCACCCCAGTAGACTATAAGCTCCATGAGGGTAATAATCTTTATATGTCCCATTCACTGGTATATACAGAATTTGACACAATGTAAGTACTCAATAAATATCAAATTAATTGAGTGAATGGCCAGTAGGGACAACTATATGAGTAAAGCATGTCCAACCAACAGGCAGGCAGGGAGTCCTCTGACAAGTGGGGATTGTGGGCGGAGTATATAATTAACAAATGTCACTTCATTTCATTGTAAGGAATGCAGAGACAAAATAGATACATATGTTAACACTCCCACTCCTGGTACCATGGTACCAGATGTGTTTTATGGAACACAGGAACAACCCAGGCATCCCAACCACTATGCATCTTCTTTTCTAGTATTAGGAAGATGGAAGAATTCAGATTGCTGTCTTATGCTTTCAGACTGTAGAAACTTAAGAGCGTTAATGTTTCCTAATTCCTTGGGCTATCACCCTGGTGGAGGTGGGAAATACACTCATTACATTCCTATACCTTCTTAAGTAACAGCTATAGCTCCTTGACAGAACTCAAGTTCCGGGTAGCTGCAACTATGGTTCTTATCTTCTGTGTGGGTTTGTTACAAAGGAGAGGGTTGGAGTAACTTTTTGCCTTTCTATATGAGTTTTAAAAGTGTTCCAAACACAAGCAAGGTAACTTAGGAAGAGAAAAAGATACTGAAGGAAATGATCATTTTTAAAAAGTCAGCCTTGGCAACAGACCAAGACTCCATCTTAAAAAAAAAAAAAATGGCTTTCTAAAATTTCATTATAGACCTCTATCTTTCTTGTAACACAGAATATGTACTGGTTAAGAATACTGGCTCTAGAGTTAGAGCTCTGTTATTAGTTGTGTTTGCCATGTACAATCCCAGCAGTAAGTGCTATCATTTAATATTTGCAATATGGTACAAAGGCAATAGCTGAATCCTGCTACCATCAAAACCATGGTAACACTACAAATATACATGCAACAAAACACTTACCTTTGCTAATCATTTCTGCTACAAATTTGCTCCAAAAAAAGGTGTACAATTTTGATGATCCCTTATTTATAGGAACGATGCCAAGAAACACAGGACTAAATAAACCTGATCACTTTTGCAAATTTTTAACACAACGTGTTTCTTTGTGAACATCTAATGTTGGCCCTTTTATTGCCTTTAAAACGATCTCAATATTTGTCTCTACAATTGACTAAGGTAAGTAAAACGACATCTATGAAGCATGAAAAAAAGAGCCTCTTTAATTCCTACCATATAAATGATAGTTACATTAATATTCTATACTTTTGGCTCTGAACCATCTAATAGCTTTATTCTAGTACAACAATAAAAACTGTTAAGGGAAATGAGGAAATAGCATGGGGATTATTGCTCTTAGCATTTAATAGTATATTGAAATCTTGATGATGCTTGCTTACATTTGCTTGGAATAAGTATCTAAGGGAAAATTAAGCCCTAAGCTGAAGCTACTATTTGAAATCCCAGAAAGGGCTCCTGGGAATAGTTTGGCTTTTTGTGACAATAGATTTTCTGATGAAGTACACTGTTCCCTAATGAAAAAGACCTGGCACAGCTTCATATGATAAAATTTGACCAATGTGAGGAGTGCGATGATCAGTTTGGGAATGAGTGTTTTAATAAAAGAAACATGAAATCGACTGTGCTTTGGCAGGACATACCCCAAACCATCATGAGAGCTGTCGTCCTGGCCCACAGATGATCCCCACCATGCTACAACTGTGCGAGTTCCCACTGACATCACTGACAAAGCTGGCACGGAGACAAAGACATAATCCAAAAGCAGCCATGTTGCATTCTGCTTCATTGGAGTCCTATGAAAAACAAACTAACTTCCCCGCCTCCCCTGACCCACCCCAAAAAACGTACCATGGAAAAGATTTGAGGTTCAGTTGAGCTACTGAAGATGTGTATTTCTAGGCAAGTAGATAAAAGGGATAGGAAAAATGAAATTTTAGAAAGGAAAAGGCAAGTGTTTTCAAATGATGAGGTCAAATGTGATAAACGTGAAAAAGGATGATACAATAAGAGGACTCTGAATTACTTGGGTTGAGACTGTCTAATACTTTAACTGGAGCAACAAGGTCATAGTTTAGGAAGGGTAACAGTTGCTTTTATCTACGTTTTATAAAAAGACACCAATACGATAAGTTGCTCTCTATCAACAACATTGAAGTTCACATATTCATTAATAAAAAATAGCTTACATTACCCGCATAAATGCTTGATGTGTTCTACAGTTAGCTACTCCGCTGGACACTTGTATGCTTCCTGTAATCACGTCAGAAGTTCCATTAGAAGAAAAACAGAATCTTGGTGGAGACTCTGTCTTTCTGTTCACATCCAAACTCATGTTATAAAACAAAACTGCAAAAATATAGAGAATCGCAGTTAATCTATTTACTGAAATACATCTATTGTTATTTTTGAAGTGCTAATAGTCAAAGTTATATAGATTACTGGAAATAATATCTGGAATTCTCTTTATTAAACAGCTTTTTAAAGACTAACCTGAAATATGAAAGAGGGAACAATTAAAAATACAAATTTTACAAATTGCTTTTATAAATAAAGATTTATGAACTTTCCTCTAGATTTCTATTAACACTAAAATCTTTAGTTATTTGCTTAAACCTCCTATATATAAAAATGTAAACATTGTTGCTAATAAAAGTCTTGCATAATGGTTCAGATTCCTTTGGAGTCATTTTTTCCTCAGAACATTGACTAAGAAAGTATAGACACAGTGCTTTGCTCAAATGTTACTTGGAAAAATTCTATCTTATGTGGTTATATGACTAATTTTATATATGACTTTTTTTAAATTTTAGATTTGTTTGATCTGAAGGCTTTTTATTTTTTATACACGAAGTGAACACATGATTAAGTCAAATCTATGTATACGGTTTTCTTAAAAATGTCATCTTTCCAGTCTTATGCCCTGATTATCTGTCCTTCCTCTACATGTTATTGGTTTCTAGTTTGACCTTCCAGTGTTAATTTGTGCAATTTTTAAAAAAATTCTCTCAATAAATATTCTAGCGGTTTGGCAGGGTTTATTTCAAATCTGACATAGTAAATATTCATCTGCTCATGAAGATCTCCAAATTATTTAAAAAAAAAAGAAAAAGAAAAGAAAAGAAGAGAAAGAACTGTTAAAAGCAAACAAAAACTTCCCAGCCAGATCTTACCAAGAAAGTGAGACCCATTTCACGAATCTAAATGGGTTCTTTGCCATGCAAGCTAAATATAATATTCTTCTGAGGTGTCACTCATTATATAGAAGCAATAATTCATATGTGATAGTTTAAAGAATTTATGTAATTCTTGACATGTTCATTTATATTTTAGGAGTAACTTACACTTCTAGAAGAATTTTACCTACTTATTTCAAGGAAACAAGCATAAAATCTATATTATTCTTTATACATTTCAAATAAATCCTTCAGTCATCTTTTTAGTTGGAAATAATGAAGTCCAAGTCAATTGGATTTCAAAATTATAACTGAGATTCAATACCTCAGAGAAATAGCACTGCAACTGAAATAGCTATCTACAAGTTCATTGTCCTGAGTTAAGAAAAAGAGTAAATGAAAATGAGGTGAAAAATAATCCACTACTAGTTAAGAGTCAAAATGTCCTGGTTTTATTAAACATGCTTGCCATGTGAATTATTTCTCCTGGGAGTCATTTTGTGATAATTCTAAGATATGTTTCTCTAATAATGTGATGATTATTTATGTGTTTCATATGTTTGTCTTCAACTATTTTTAAAAATATCTGGTCACAATGGAATTGTTAGTAGAGAAAACACTGGTTTTACATAAAAGGAAAGTGCCCCATCTACTCCGTGTGTGTCTTTCAGATTATCCATCAGCTTGTCTGTGTTAATGTGTAATTTACTGTGTGGTCAGGTTCTCAAACTGCCGTTTTCAAATCAATAACTAGATGAAGGCTTGCCCACCCTCTTATTACTGTAGCTCTGGCCATGACTTTTCCAGGGCACTATTAAAAATAAGTCTGATCTAAAGCAGAGATATCAGAGTCATTGTGTACCTTTCAGGTACAGGCTCATTGTGTACCTAATGCATACTGAGACATCTATTACATATCCATAGTATTATTTAATAAGTATGTGGGCCCTTCACGCTGTTTAGATAACAGCAGTCTGCAGGGTCATGAATACAATAAACTCTTGACAGGTCCTAATAGAGGATCATAAATATTGTGAATTATTAATCTCTAAATGATATGCCCAGATATGCTCTTCTCCTACCACAGGCTAGTTTCACTAGTAGTTATTTTCATATTAGCCTAAATAAAACAATTAGGAACATTAATCTGCTAGCAAAAATGCTTATAAAGTCACATATACATGATTTGGAATTCGCCACCATGATTTTGGATGAGCTGTATCAATGATACGTTCTCCAGAGCAGATAATTGAGAGTTGTCTATACATAGGGAAATGGGTATGGTTCTTAGGAGCTTGTAGTCGCAGTAAATTGTTAACGGGCATATTATTTATATAAGATAGAATCAGGTCTAGCTTCTTCAATTTTTAAAATATTTTTATGATTATTATTTTTTTGAGACAGGGTCTCATTCCACTGCTCAGGCTGGAATGCAGTGGTGTGATCATAGCTCGCTGTAGCCTGGACCTCCTGGGCTCAAGCCTCAGCCACCTAAAGTGCTGAGATTACAGACATGAGCCACCATACCTGGCTTTCTTCAATTATTGAAATTGGATAAAATATGAAGAAAGAGATTTCACGGGTTAAGCTCAGTTGGTTTACCTTAAACTAACATAGCAAGAGATACTATGTCCTTTGCTTCTCATAATCTCTAAACAACTACAGCCTTCTAATGTGCCCAACTCATTAGAACAATGCAAGAATCTGGACGATGGAGAGGAAAAGTATGTATCAGCTAGTTTCTCGCCCCTGCTCTAAAGATCTCCATGGTGAAAACTGGTGAGGGCTCCAAACAGGACTGTGGGATTAATGAAAGAACCACACCCCATGAAGGATTAATTCTGTAAGGCATACTCACCAATGTAACCTGGAACTTCCTTGCCCTTATATGAGAAACAAAGTGTTAGATCCATGCACACAGAAGGCCATCCATTTTCAACACAGTCAAATTTCGTTCTATTTACTGACTCAGGGTGGCTTAAAGAAGCTTCAACAATGACTACAGGTCTTGTCCTGAGAAGGAAATAAAATTAGCAATGTTAATTACAGAATTATTTTTCCTTAAGAAGTGTATTTGTTTTGTCAGTTTACATTGACCAAGTAATTTCATGAGTCTTCCTTATTATGTGTGTACATACTAATTACATTTCTGTGCACAGGGAAAAATAACTTTTTATTTAAATGTCCAAAAATATTGACTTTGATGATTTAATTATATCTCTGTAAGGTGAAAAAAATACCCTAAAGTGCAATAATTAAACTTCAGAATACCAAAAGAGTATCATGAGGTCACTACCACTGCTGATTTTAAACACTGCCTCCCATCATTTACAATTAAACCAAATTGCCATTAAGCAGTGAAATATATCAATCTTACCTTAGCAACACAGCAGAATCAGACCGAAAAGCACCAACTGCTACATCTGGAGGATAAAAAAAAACACAGATTAATGATCATCATTAGTCAAAGAGAATTACTTTTCAGCCATAAGTACTGAACTACGTATCACCTTTGACTACCTAAAAACACTACTTGTAGAAAATTAGAGACTATATGCTAACATCTTACAATTCATTCCTCTTTTCTCTGAATCTACTCATGTATAACAGTCATCTCATTATGATATATCATAAACTTTATGGTAAAAAGAAGTTTACTAAAACAAAATTCAATTTTTGGACTAGAAACATTCAAATTTCCTTTCTAAATAAGTTTTCTTTCTTTTCCTCATTATCTATTTGATTTTCATGAGTGCTTTCATTTTTTCAAAAACACAGACTATAACATTGAGTAACTAACACTGTTAAGCTGAGGAATTACTTGATCATTTTAGGCCCATCCTTGAATTAAGGAGAACTTTAAAAATGAAGAAAAAAATTATCAGTAAGATGAAGTCTTTCATACCAGTATTATGTACTTCACTATAAAGCAATATCTATAATAGAGCTTATTCCAATTTATAAACAATGACAAACTAATTACTCACCTACATATCCATTATTATCTGCATCAATTTGTCCTGATATAGACTGTCCAAACATACTTAACGATTTGCTGATCTGAAGTCCTTCAATTCTCTGAAAAATAGGAAAGTTGAGTGGGAAGTAGTTTTTGAATACTAATATACCAGAGAAGCAATGATTTAGCTAAATAATGAGCTTTCCCAGGCATGCCTTGGCACATCTACTAACAAAGTTGCATTTTAGTTAAATCAAATACTTCCAAGAGTGACAAATTTTCCAGCTTGAAGTGAACAGACGACATTTATTTTGTGACTAAAAAAAATTTACTTTACTTTGTGAGCAAAGGGAAAATTATGTTGTACAGATTTTCTAAAATAGTCCTGACTCCCTCTCAAGTCTTTTCAGAGATAGGGGTCTCACTATGGCACCTGGGCTGGCCTGGAACTCCTGGGTTCAAGCAGTCTTCCCAGCTCAGCTTCCTGAGTAGCTGAGATTACAGGTGCACACCACCATGCCTGGCTTCCTTAGGTCTCTTCAGGCTCTATATTTACTTCCTTTCCCAACATGAACAATTAAATAAGTAATTTGGAAAACAAGATGTCTATAATCACTTAGTGGAGCCTATGACTGAGGCTTTTGATAAAAGCCGGCTTTTTAACAAGAACAATCCTAGCCAGATATGTACTTTCTATTCCACATGTCTAATTTCATGTTCACATACAGGTTTATAAATATTAAGCTGATATTCATACTAAGAAAATTACTATTTTTGTTTACTAGGCAAATACATTTCTTTTATGTCAATTACAGAGAACCATTTGCTCATTTTTGCCTAATCAAAAATAACTGCCAGCTAATATTTCCATGCAAATATCAAGGGAAAAACTTTTCTTCTCTGCATATGAATGTCATTTTTTTTCTAGGCACTGAAATGCCATGATTTTTCAACATACAAAAGTGAAGTCAGAGTAAGATTCTGAGACATGATTAAAGTGCTGTCATCTTACTACTCAACAGTGAAAGAAACCCAGAGTATCATATGTGTGTTTGATCTCCCTGTGCAATCTTCATGAAATATGGAGCTCTAGCCACAAGGCGAAGACACAGTTAATCAAATCCAAATGGGCATATTTTAGAATCATATGGATATTACCTCGGAATACAATTTAATGAAATACAAAGACAAATATTTAATGGTCAATAGATAAGCTAGGGTGGAAATGAACTACAACTCTTATTTATGGAAAAAGGGAGTTTGAAGAATTATTAATCCCTTAAAATAAGATCATTTGTCACTGTAAGTAAACGGTGAAATGAAGTGTGAAGTATTTGAAAGAGAAAATTAAGAAGTAAAAAAGTCCACATAATCCTGGAAGTTTTAAGGATACGCATTATAACCAATGCTTCTTTTGGAAATAGAATAGTATCTTACCTGCGAGAAGGCTGATGAGACCCCATCTGCACGGCCATTGTAAATATAAATAGCACCTTGCAAGTCATCTTCTTGCGGAGCTCCGATAGCAACATCTATCCAAGAATTTAAACAGTGGAAAAATAAATTCTTGATACAAAGAATGCAACTTCGAAAACTAACCTAATGAACCTTAATTCATATCACGTAAGAAAACTCTCTTTTATGAAAAATAACAGTCTTCCTCAGACAGAAAAAATAAAATAGAATCATCATCATATACAGGATTGCACACAATAGTTTGTACATGGAAGAAAGCAGAGTGGAAGCATCTGAGAGGCAATCTAACAAAATGATTAGGGCATGGGCTCTACAGACAGACCACTGGGGTCTGATCCAAGCTCTGCCACTGGGCACTGCCATGCTAGGCTGGGTCCATTTCTTAATCTGTGTTTCAATTCTCTCACTTATCTAATGGGATCATAATAAAAAACACTCTCAGCATAAAATGATATAACTTCTGCAAAGTGCTTAGAGCAGTGCCTCGCATGTAATAACTTCTCATAATCTATGAATATTTTGATCATAAGAATTTTTACTTTGGGAGCCCAGACTTACCTTATTTGCAAAATGACTCTTAATTCCTATTCCAATGAAAATGATTAAGGTATCTGTTAGAGATATCTGCACACACATACACACAGGATTTCAGAAAAAGGATTTGTTATGTAAAATAATGATGATATCACCTTTCTGTATATAATTATGTCAGACTATGATACCAAGGGAAAAAAAAAGATCTGATCAACTAACATAAGAAAACCTGAGTAAATGACATGGTTAAGTGCTATAAATATATAGTACAAAGGAGAAAAATAATATTCTACAGTTGCAAGAGCATTTCATTATTTTACCAAGTATTGTCTATTTATGTACATATTTATTTATATGCAATGGCTTTTTATTACTTTAATAGAAACCTAAAGTAGTTTGTCTTCATGATATTACTTATTACCATCAAACTGAAAACCTTTTTATAAACAGTGGTAATTTTTGGCTACTATTTCAATGAAGATAAACATATCTTTGATGTATAACTCCATGTTAAACAATGTAAAATTGTAAAAATGCAAAAGCTTTTCTAGTTTCAGTTAAAAAGAAATGGTAGACACCTATATTTACTTTGTTTATACATACTAAGGCTAGCCTCTTTTGACTTGTATGAAGTTTTTCAAACTTTCATATGCAAACATGCCCATTCATTTATTCATTCATTGGACAGCTAGTGAGCACCTATTATATTCCAGGTGTTTGCCAGGAGCTGGCAAAACAGGGCAGTACCACAGAAGGAAACTCATTGTTTAGTAGGAAGGAATGGCAAGTAAGAATAGACTAATAACATAGCATGTGAGGAGGAAGTGGTGGAAATTAGGGAAGGCTTTTCGTAGAAGATGATGCCCAAGATAAGATTAAAGTATCCATAGGACAGAGCCAGGTGAAGAAAAGGGGAAATGCAATTTAGAGAGGGGGAAATGCAATTTAGAGATGGGGAAATGCAATTTAGAGATAGGGAAAAGCCTGTGCAAGGGCAGGGAAGCAACAGGCAGCATGGCACATGTGAAGAATGGCAACTCATTTGGAATAACTGGAGTCAGATTTGTGCAGAATATATACATACAGGAACAGAGGAGCAAGAATCGGAAGGAAGAGAAAGAGAGGAGGAGGAAAAGAGGGACGTGAAAAGAAGGAGTAGAGAAAAGTATCTTATAGCCATTGAATGGAAGACAGCAATTTCTTTAATCAGGGCTGGGTTTATACTTCCACCACTGTGGTTAAAGCTGTAGAATTTGCTATACATTGATTCTTAACACATGAAAAAAATAACAAGCCTTGTTCATGAAGTGGTTGATGTAATTCTTACAGTATCTGTTATTAGCAAGAGTGATCTAGATTAAGGCAAGTATTGAGGAAAAATACTGATGAGCCTTTTCAGCCAAAATATTTAAAAGGTCCAAATAAATTTTTTTCCATACAGAGGACACTTCAATCTTTGGCTATCACATATATAGATTCAAACTCTTGCTTCCTGGATTACACCTGGATATGTTATATAATAAAGTTCTAGCTATCATTATTCAAATGAGAAAGATACATTTTGAAATATATATAAATGTTTTCCAAGCCTATGCAACTTAATTTGGGACACAATATACAGAACACAGATATTTAACGATTGCTTTTACTTCTTATCTGAACATTTTCATTCTTTTAATATAAATCAAAATTATTAGCATTAGTGTCGGCCAACACTTATGTTTACAATGTAGGTACTGTGATATGGGCTTCGTGCACATTTACCCAAGTAACTCTCACAACCACCATATTAAACAAATACTCTGACTCCAACTTTACAGATGAGGAAACTGAGGCACAGGGTATAACCTGCTCAAGGTGACAGAGCCAGGATGTCATGGAGCTGGGATTTAAACCCTGCAGCCTGGCTCCAGAGCCTGTGCTATTGCCATGCTCTATGAACTCATTAACAACAGAGGTCATACCCCCAAATTTCCCTTCCTAATACTGATTCCTGTTCTGTGTCAAAGAGTTTCTCTCTCTCTCTCTCTCTCTCTCTCTCACACACACACACACACACACACACGAATACTATTCAGCCATTAAAAAAAAGGAAATCATGTATTCTGCAGCAACAGGGATGGAACTGGTGGGGGGTGTCATTATCTTAAGTGAAACTAGCCAGGCACAGAAAGTAAAATAACACATGCTCTTAACTCATAAATCAGTGCTTTAAAAATGTGTTCACATGGATGTATAAAGTAGAATGATAGACAATGAAGACTCAGAAAGGAAAGGGGTTGTGGGGGGTGGATGATGAGAAATTACTTAATGGGTAAAAATGTATGTTATTTGGATGATGGATACCCACAAGCACTGACTTGATCACTATGTAATCGATACATGTAACAAAATGGCACTTGTACTCTATAAACAAACAAAACAGAAGTGCTCACTTAATGATTTGATGATATAGCAATATTTCAGGTGCACACAAAGTAACAGTACAGCTTGTAATTTACAATTGTAGAACTTATGGTTCTGCTCTAAAAATATTCAAACATATTGTCTAAAAGTCAGATAATAAGGCTCAAGGTGAAAAAAGAAACTAAACCGATAAATAGCGGTCTTGTCAAGTCTATTTTACATATGAAATAAAAAAATGCTATCTGCTGTTGGTCATGTCAGGTGTATTAGTCTGACCAATTTTTTCATGCTTTTGAGGAGTTTTACACTAAACTTTTGCCAAATCAATTGGTCATCTTTTTAGAAAATGGCTTGTGTTGCTTTTCTAAGGACACAGGAAATAGAGTCTGATTTTTTTTTTTTCCGTTTGAGAACAACTGAAAAGTGATGACAAATGCCAAGATAACTTAGGTTTGCTACACAAAGTACCACAAAAATTTGCAAAATAAAGACATTAAGTGTGATTTGCATCCAATATTGGAGTCTCTTTCTACATAATCCTACACTTCTTGCCATGAACACAATGTATCTTTACCCATTCACCCCAGAAAAATAAAATAAGACAAGATGGGGCAAAGTAATAAAGAAACACATAAAGAAAAAGAACTTGTAAATTCCTGCTGTCTCATGCAGGCAGACATGGTGGAATAGGACACACTCACCCTGTTTCCACATCAGCAATGGTCTTGATAATATCTAAAATATAGAAAATGCCTACTTATGGGCAAAATAGAAGATAAAATTAGAACTGGAGGACCGGGCACGGTGGCTCACGCCTGTAATCCCAGCACTTTGGGAGGCCAAGGCGGGCGGATCACGAGGTCAGGAGGTCGAGACTATTCTGGTTAACACAGTGAAACTCTGTCTCTACTAAAAACACAAAAAAATTAACCAGCAGGCATGGTGGCAGGCGCCTGTAGTCCCAGCTACTCGGGAGGCTGAGGCAGGAGAATGGCGTGAACCCGGAAGGCAGAGTTGCAGTGAGCTGAGATCATACCACTGCACTCCAGCCTGGGCGACAAGAGCAAGACTCTGGTTCAAAAAAAAAAAAAAAAAAAGAACTGGACCAAGTAGAAAAAGATATATGGCATTATAAACACTCACTGAAGTGTTAATGTAGCCACTAAATGTAAATATGCTGTGAATTATAAAAGACATTATAAATAGCACAAAAATATGCAGAAATACTTTAAAAAATCATTTGCATAATAACCTTCCAGACATAAAGGTATTACCTTTAGGAGTGGAGTGCTGAGGGTTTTTAGCAAAACAAGACTTATGTGAAGCCCAGGGTCTCCTATACAAACTAAGAGACTGCACTGTCCCCTGAAAGTCCCCTCCGAAGTCCTCTTCCTAAGTCTCATTGACAGAATACTCTCTGTCTGTCCTTCGCACCACTGGAAAATTACTTGGGCTTTTCCCAGGTACTAGAGTAATTCTAATAAGGGAATTTGCCTATTGCTCATGGCAGTTTTACAGCTCTAACTATAATGATAATTCAAATTTGTCATTGACATTTTGATGCCACAAAAATAATTTCTATGTGTATATACATATATTTTTCACATTCAAAAGGGTAAAAATAGTGGTCTTCCTTAAATGTGCCAATTCAAACAAGACAGAAAAATCATAAACAAAGTGTTTTACTAAACAGTGATTTTGTGTTTTTAAAAGAAAGAATTGGGTTGTCTATACAACACACATGACATATCAAAACGCATAAACATGGTTTTATCCGCAGGTGTTTATTAGGTAGAACCCTTAAATTTGCCACTAAATAAGACTTATGTTTTCAAGTATTACTTTTATTTTCTACTTGATTGTAGAACTATGAAAAAGGGTGCCACTATTTTCTTCATTTTCATTTATTATGGTACATAGTCTGTACCTGATATGGTACATCTGACCCAAAATAAATGTTCAATAAATATCACAGAATTGCTGGTTACTTATGAGATGTAACATCAAACATAATAAAATTTTTTGTTCTTAATCAAATCAGACTTTTAATAAAAAGATAATAAAATAACAGTTTCTTATTGCTGTACATTAAAACTGCACACTTCTGAATGGAGAGATCAGTTATCAGTGAGTTGCTTTTCTATGACACTGGATGGCTGCATAGGAGCAGTGCTGACCTGAATGTATACAAACTCTCAAGGGATGTGAACTCAATGTGATGAGTGACGGCAGCAATGGCCAATACAGGAGTGCAAACCAGGTGTCCCGCCCCCTTTCTAGGAAGGGCATAAAACAAGACATGATCCCTCTTACAGCTGCTCCAATTAAACAAAATACCCACAACACCTTCCCTCACCCCTGTCCAGGATGAGGTTATTTGTGAAAATGAGCCAGTGCCCAACCTGGGGTTCTGGTAGGGTAAGGGAAGTAGGGGGAAGCTAGTGATGGGTGGGGTACAGAAAGGCTCCCCTCCATACATGTTTCATTAAAATATTATGTGTAATCATAATAACCAAAAGTATAGATATATATTTTTTCTCTCCTTTCAGTTTTAAAATAGGAAACAAAAAATCCAGAACAGTAATACTTGTATAACATAGTTACACTATTTTATGTTTAAGAAGGTTCCCTGGAAGCATGTATTCAATAACTGACTTTTCGTGTAGAATAACACATTTTATATATTTAAAGTAGACTGTGGTATCTAGGTACAAGAAGACATTAAGGAGATGAGAATTTACAGTACCCCATCACTTTAATCTCTGAGAAAGCTGTAGCCTAAAATTACCATATACTAATTGCCAATGGCCTTATCAAGAAGACAATTATGAACCCTAAAAATATCAAATACTTATGTGCTGAACTCCAGGAAATTGCACACTCTCCTCTTAAACCTATTCATCATTTCATGCACAATTTTAACAGACTCAGTTACTTACCACTTAGAACTAGATTGATAAAAGCAAATTTTTAACAGAGAATGCTAGTAGATGCAGGGATTTCAACAACAGGACTGACATCCATGGCGATATGCACAGTTACCACACTACCATCTATTCAGTTAGTGAAAAACTTCAATATCAGTGGGTAAACAGCCACTGTCACCAGGCTTCCCAGTGGCCTGCTCAGAATCTCTTCTCGAATTCCCCAGATCTTCCCATAACATGGCTATAGGGAATGCCTGGCAGAGCAGAGGGCTTCCAGAACCCTGCTCCAGCTCTGCAGCCAGCCTCTGTTGGGTTTGGTCAGTGTCTTTATTGTACTGATAGTTAAATACCATGGTCCAATGAGTCTATGATACACATTTCCTGCCCATATTTTATTATTTCTGAAATCAGGGTCTTCCTTAACATGAAAAAATAGTGGGCATTAACAGCTTAATAGGCAGCTTTTAGGGACACATAAATAACAATGCAGTTTCTAATCAATGGTGCCTTAGAATCACTGAAATAAAGTATTTTGAATATCATCCATTATTAACAGTGGTAAAGATCAATGGGTGACAAACTGAGAAGTCATACATAACACTAAAGAAAAAACTTAGCATGCCATTATGGCTCCATTTTCTATAGGAAGGTAAACAACACAAAACTTTAATCATATTTTCTTCCATAAACCATTTTAAAAGCAGAAATCAAGCACCAAATTGATAATTTTAATTACCTTCAAAGCCATCATTGTCAATGTCACCAAGATTAACTATACATTCGCCAAATCTTGCAGCATATTTGTCACTTCCAACGAGATTTGTTTCCATTTCATTCATTACTGCTCCCTAGATAGAAAGGGAGAGAAACGGTATCATTATAACACTCCCTGACAACTTTACACAATTTACTGTTGTAATTGGATATGGATTTTTTCTAATGTGTCAAACAAGTTGGACAAACTACAGACTGAGCTCTAGTACACACATCTCAGTTCAATTCAATAAATATTTATTGAGTCTGTCAACACATAATAGTATGATTAGAGCTCGGAGGACATAAAAAATTGTCAAACTCATGATCTCTAGCTTTGAAAATCCAATAAATCATTTTGATAATTCAATTTAGCAAATATTTATTGAGCTTCTACTAAAGACAACACACTGTGCAAAGAGTGAAAAGGTGAAAGGGGGCAAGGAAGTGTGTGTATAAAACACATTCCCTTTCTTCAATAAGCCCACAGTTACAGGGAGGGCTTAGCCCAAGCATACAAATGACTGAGAAGCAGAAACTGCTTTACCATATCAAGAAGCAAAAATAAATAAATAAAAAATCTAATTATAACAGAAGAGACTTCATAAAAGGAGATGGCATGCCAGGTGGCTATTGAAGGATAAGCGTAATTTTGATACACAGAGACAACCAGCAGCAAAACAAATTCCAAAGAATTTGGCTCTAATGAATGGCATGTATAATGAATGAGACAAAAATGTCAGATTGCAGTCTTATAGTGTAGCATCTTGATTGTCAAGGAAAATTTACTCTTAATTTAGGGAACAACAGGAAACACTGAAGGTTTCTGAGTTGAGGAGTGACATGCTTGAAGTTGGTCTTTGGAACCAGCAGCAGTGGAGTATAGATTAGTCAATGGATAACTAGGAAGGAGGAAGATGAGTTACTACAATAAGACATTCAATAATGTAATAATTAGCTGTTACAATCACAGCTATCAGTTCTCTTCACAAACTTTGATCATGTCAGTCCTTTGTATTAAAAAGAGAAAAGGCCATATCCTTTCTTCTTCTCAAATCTACTTGGCACTCCTTAAGCATATACACATTCTTTCCTTGTCAAGTATCTTCATTTGTGAATTTTCCAAAAGAAAAATTCTGATTTTTGTCTTTCTCAAACACTACTTCCTCTGTAAAAGCTTCTTGACCCAAAGGGAATCATTTCTTCCACTTCGTATGTACTTACAATGTGCCATGTATCACGTCGTAGTCAATTGTTTACTCCCATTGGTGTCTTCACAAGATCCTGAAGTCCTGGGGACAGCTCTATGATTATTACCTCTTTTTATAGTCCTGGTTACATTTCAGATACTCACTAAATGTCATTTATTTTATTTTAAATGAACTAAGATGACTGGGAATCATCTTTATAATCACTTGACGCTGAAGCAGTGAATGATTGATTCAAAGAAGTCAGGGATAAAACAGCTTGGCTCCTGGGCAAATGTCTAAATTAAAGAGCAGAAGGGTAAAAAGGCTCCAGGGAGAAGAGACAAGGTACAGACTTAAGACAGTGCAATGGCTCTGAAGTTCTGGAAGGAGAGTTTCAATAGGAAGAGGTGATCACTATTCTTCAAATATTCCCTAGTCACAGAGAGTGGTGACTGAGAGTTCACTGGGAACCCCTGAGAGCTATTTTAGTACAAGTAGGTAGAAGCCAGAGTCACTCAAGTATCATTCTTTCTTGAGTTCATTCAAAAACAATTTCACCTACTTGTCTAGGACTCTTTCAAGCCCTGATGAAACAGCAGTAAACAAGACACAATATCTCTCCACATGGCATCTATACTACAGAAGAACAGACAACAGCAAATCGAATCAATGTAAATAAATGCCACTTAGTGGTTAGCGCCATTTCAGAGGGTTGAGAAATTAGAGGTTAAATGGAACAAAGGAAGACTATATCAGAGGATTTAAAAGCTGAAATCACTTATTAAATTAATTCAAGTGTTTAATAAGAGTAGTGCCTTGAGGTAGGCATGAGGCAAGAACAGGAGGGTAGCCAAGCGGGTAGAAGGGTTTATCTGTTTTTTCTTTTTTCTTTTTCTTCTTAATGAGATTAAGATTGCAATGGGGGAAAATTATTCTATGTTGCTTTACTTTAGGTATACATGTGGATGTTTAGTTGTAAAGAGGAACATAAGAGAAATCTGCAGCACGAGGATGTAGCCAGTACAAAGACCACTATTTTTGGAAATGGAAATGTGAAATCTATGGAAGAAAATTATCTGATATCACTATTAATGAGATTTAATGATCACTGTGTAGATAATTTGCTTTTACTATTAAATGTAGGTTAAATACAGTCTAGGAAATTGCAAAGCATAAATAACTTCCCTGGTCTGTATTTTAAACTTTGAAAATCTTCCATTTATAAGACTAGATGTTTCCTTCTTAAATTGTAGAGTTTAGTCTGATGCTTAAAATAAGAACTTGCTAAATGCTCTGAAACCATTGACTGAACATAGTTACAAATACTTTCTTGAAACAGAGTCCACTTTGTTGAATCCTGACTGAAAAATGCTATGCCATTCGAAATGAACTGGTCTTCTCACAAGCCCACTCTTGTTTTCAAATCAAAGGAACAGGCCAAGAAGATCTCATTAAGACTCCATAAATTTTTTGTTTTGACCTAATGTCAAGAATCTAGGCTGGCAAGATAAGGCCAGAAAGTCTTTGAATTATCAAGTGGTCAGTTTCTACCACAATAATTTAAAATTGAATTATAGTCAGTAATTACCTATTTATACAATTAATATATCCACTGTGGAATAAACTGTGCCAATTTTATATTCTTATCAAGAGCATAATATATATGAATTATGAAAATTAATGTTTTAACAAAACACATCTTGTTTCTAATTGTTTTCAAATTAAGAAATTGAAAATACTTAATTATTCATCTTCTAGTCCTAGTAATATTTTATAATTTATATAAGGACCTTAACCAGAACTATTAAGAAATCTATATTTTGAAGGAGGTATAAAAATTTTTCTTTCAAATTAGATTAGTATCAACATAAAACTGAAAGAAATTTCAGCTACCAGAGTGAACACACACAAGCTGTGAACAGAGAAACTCCCTAACAATCTATTTCATAGATTGTTCTAGAATATCAAAATGAGATACTTTCCCATTCATCTGCATATTCCATTTCATTTTTACAGCATCAGTACAGTATTAGAATTTTAACTTTTGTCAATAAAAAAAACCTGAAAATAATCTCAGATCTCTGGAATAAGACCAATTTCAGTTTTGATCATAATTCCATAAATGGCTTCCAGTTAGGACACTTGGACATACCGAGCCGGAGTTGATGTACACAAACACTCTTCCTTCCTCTCTGATGGTGCTCTGCATGGGCGCTCCCACGAGCAGATCTGAGAAGCCATCTGCGTTAAGGTCCACAGCACAGACAGAAGCTCCAAAGTACGATCCAAGCTGTCCCAAAACAAACCAGATCCACTCATTGAGAAAAAAGCAGGGTTACTCGCAAAAGCCCACAGAGATACTAAAGGTGGAGACATATTACCTTTTTACCTTTCATTTCATGTAAGATATTTAGTTCTTTTTCATCAATGCTGAATATATATGCCTGTAATTGGGGAAATAATTAGAAAAGTTTTTATGAATACCATATATATTTTAAAACCCCACTCATTTCTGTTTGATCGAAACATGAATTTTTACAACTTGCAGTTAATTGCTCAAATATAAAAATAAATCCTTTTAAGAGTGACACAAAAGGGTTTGGGATCCACTGTTACATTAATATGCCTTACTTGCAAAAGTATTTTCTCAGGAAGTATTTTATTGATCCTATAGAGGGGACACAGGAAGTGTTGTTTGCCACACTTTTCAAAAGTAAGACTCAGAAAAGCTGAGTGACCAATGTTCACATAGCAACATAGCAAAAACTAAAACCAGAAATAATATTTCCTTCTTTCTAGTCTTACCACAAAATATATAGTTGCCTCAACTTCTTTGCAGCTGTGAAACTGTTCACCATATACTCCCTGGACATTTTTAGATAGTCCTATCTTATAATTTTCTTAAAGGAAACAAAGTCTCATTTGACTTTTGTAATTTTTCAGAAAGTGTTTTGCTAAATTTCTTCTAAAACCATAACATCTTTCACCAGTTCCACTAAATGTAATAACCTGTTCATCATTTCTAATCTTTCTTTCCTTACGTATGCAGTTTCTCCTTTAATATCTTATTCATGCAATGTCACCTTTGTGAAGAAATAAATATAAAAATGTAATTCTTACTTTACCAATCTGCTCGTGTTGAGGAGCTCCTCCGACTACTTCAGTAGTATGCTGACTCCGAAAATGACCAGCTCCAACTGAATATCCTTTAAGGGAGAAAGTATGAGAGTCCTGGGTAAAGTACATCATATGGTAATATGGGTAAAATAGATCATAAAATTAAGTGATACCCAATTCAAAATGACTACATTAAGCAGTTAAGAATATTTAGCATAGAGATACTCAAAATCAGTCATTCATTATGTTTTATGCAATTTTGATATGTGTTACAAAACTGCAATCATATGGTTTGTATTTCCAAGTCCTAGAAATTGAAAATAGCATCTTTACATCTGGTGCAGTATAATCAGTTTCTAGGATTACAACAGACATATTTTAGAGTATATTAAATATAACATCTTAATTGGGAAATGAAAACTTTAAACCTTAAATAAAAATCCTGCTAAAGTTCAGCTTTTTTGCCACCAAATCTTTCTTTTGTGATGACTTTTTGATGACAAAAGGTAATTTTATTTTATGTAATAAAAGGCATATCAAGTTATATTTCTTGAACTATTTCAAACAATCCTTTAATCATAAACAAGAAAAAATTGTAACAAATTCTTCTACTTGAAAGTTCTTCTGTTTGAATGCAAAGAAAGAGTGCTTGTTTTATAATTATTTCTGAGTGTAAGATGCTCACATTTGACACACATACAGTTTAAACAAACATGGATTTTCTGAAAATCTATAGGAAAAGCATTTATTTTCTTGTAATGGACATTAATGCAAGAAAAATTTGCATTTCTGTTGAAATACAGATGATAAAGTATCCTACTATTGACTTATGAGATGATAGTGAGGAGGAGGAAGATGATAAAAATAGTTAAGCTCTGGGAAATATTCTAAGAACTTATAAGGTGAAGGTCAATGAGCCGTTTGTAGACCCATATGCTTCACTGAGCCCCTCATCTGGAATTTGGTGGACAGTACCACTGGCTTTCAGTTGGTCCTTAAGGAAACTATACTTACACAGATGTTTAAATGAGTTAATTCACGTAAAGTTCTCACAAAAAGTTCCTGAGATATGGGAAGCACTCAACAGAAACAACCTGTATAATCGGTTGACTACATAAAGATACAAACTTACTAGTGTTTCCTAAAGTGAACTACAAAGAGTAAACTAAACTAGGAGTTCTATTAAGAATTATATATTGATTATTTTAGTCACATGTGTAAATGTAAAATATTAAGTTAACTAAATTTTCATAAATCCTATCCTTAAGAGACAGTTTCTGAACTGCCTAATTATTACTGTAATTATACTGGCCACTTACATCTTTGGAAAATATATTTTCCTTATTTATAATTATAGTACTAGTATTTGTAAGGTAGAGATCATTTAAGTTTGTCCATTTTTATAGTACCTAAATAACTTCCAAATTTTACTTGATTTTGTCTGTCTAAAAAAGCCTTGTATTTATTTGTAGTTATATTGTAGACAAAAAGAGAGCCAGTCCAATAAGATGATCCTGGGGCTCCCATCACAATTAAATCCTGTAGGAAAAAAAAAAAAAAAAAAAACTATTATTATTTAAAGTTTAAGCTCACCACCCCAAACCTCCTCCAGATACACAATAGATAGTGAAGAGAACATATTTTTATAATAACAAATTCCTGAAGTAGGAATATTCTGTGAAGTTAAAACATACCAGGAAAAAAAAAAAAAAAAAAAAAAAAAAAAGCCAGAGAAGTTGGCTAATGGATTTCTACCTAAAAGTGAAATCTCAGAGAAGAAACTCTGAAATTCTCATTTAATGCATTTATCAGTGGATTTCAAAAGTTGAAGGGAGAAGTACTGAACTCTAGGGTAAGCTTTTGGGAGACAGGCAATATGGTTCCTATTAAAGAAAATCATATGTGGGTAATTCATGAGTGCTAATTACGGAGATGATCATGTGTTGCCAAAGAATAAAAAGTGGACTTAATTTATTTCAATTTGCAAAGAACCACTAATTTTTCTAATAATGTTAGCTTAGGGGAAAAAAGTCCAATGGAATATGGGGCACATTTTGTTATACATAGGAATTTAGGAGAAGATTGGAATGAGCATGCCCTTGTCTGGTGTAGTATGAAAACTCTCAGCAGTTAAATCTCTTTAGCATATTTCTATATTCCTAAACAATCCTAAACTTTAAAAAAGTCAACTTAAACTGAATAAAGCATTTTCTTTGTAAGCATTTTAAGCATTTTAATATAACTGTTAATATTTGCAGACACTATCAACCCCAAACTTGATATAGCCTGATCTTCATGGACTCAAAAAACATTCCTGAATTCACAGTGTGTTTTTAAGAAAAACTGAGAGATTTGGGGTTGAGTACAACTGTGCCCTTTCATAGGTATCCTAGAATGTTAAAAAGAGAGTAAAAAATCTTGGAAATATTATCTATCTGATTAAGGGGATATTAAGTTCTTAAATTTCCCAATTATAATAATTTTAATGAAAAATATAGACTAATATGCTTTCTTTGCCCCTCAACTAGAAATTTAAAATAACACACTTGGGTTATTTTCAATACCTAAGTTAACAAGATAATTAACTGTAGCTACTTTTTTCATTAAATTATTGAAGAAATATTCTTCACTATAGATTTTAGTTCATCTTATGTAGCATAGCCATCTAAATATTGATATTTTATTGAAATATATGTGGAATTTTTGAGTGACAAAAATTAAGTTGTAATACTCAAATTTAAAAGACAGGAAGATGTTGCACAGTTTTTACTTTAAAACATATCAGTCTTCCAAACCATGAGAAGAATTAAGATTCTATATGTTAACATTTATAGCAGCTATTTTTTGAACAATTACCTTTGTGTAAAAACTAGATATTCCAGCTTGACATGATGCAAAATTTTCTCCAAATTTTTTCACATAATCTAAAATGAAATATTAAAACAACTCAGAATTATATCTTAAAATAAAGATATGATCTCCATAATTTGTTTCTTAAATAAATTCTTACAGAAATGTACTTTAAGGTCTATAGTTTGTACTTTTATAAAATAAAAACCAGTAACCTTGATATAATTTAACAAATTCCTTCCATATTAATATTCAAAATATTCCTATAAAATGGCAATTAAAATATCTCCCTCTGCTTCTTCTTCATAGGAAGCACACACAGCATATACTCAAAAAAAAATTTGTAAAATAAGACAGAGGTAGGATTTATGATTTTGAGTCCATGTTTTCTTTTTACTGTACATATCTAAGGTGTGCAACATCACGTTTGACATATATATACATAGTGAAACAGTTACTACACTTAACATACATATCTCCTCACAGTCATCTTTTTTGTGCATTGAGAGTGAAATCTACTCTCTTGGCAAACTTCCAGTGCACAATAATTAACTCCAGTCCTCATGCTGTACATTAGATCTCTAGACTTATTCATCCTACACAAATGCAGCTTTGTACACTTTCACCAACATCTCCCCATCCTAACTCTCTCTCTTCTCACCTTCTTCTCTATGTATTTGACTTTTTTAGATTCCACAGATAAGTGAGATCATACAGTACGTCTTTCTGTGCCTAGCTTATTTCACTTAAAATAATGTCCTTCAGGGTCATCCATGTTGTCACAAAAGTCAGGATTTCCTTTTTTAAAGGCTGAATAATACTCCATTGTATATGTTTATGTATATATGTGTGTATACATACGTCTCACAACTCCTTATCCATTCAGTCATCTGTCAATGGACACTAAGGTTGTTTCTGTAACTTGGCTATCGTGAATGCTGCTGCAATGAACATAAAAGCACAGATCTCTTTATGTGGTACTGAGTTCTTTTCCTTTGTATATATACCCAGAAGAGGGATTGTTAGACGATATGGTAGTTTTATTTTTAATTTGAGTAACTTCTCTACTGTTTTCTATAATGGCTGTACCAATTTACATTCCCACCAACATTGTGCAAGGGTTCCATTTTCTCCACATCTTCGCCAACACTTGTTATCTCTTACCTTTTTCATAATGACAGTTCTAATAGGTGTGTAGTGATACTTTATCGTGGTTTGTAATTTGCATTTCCTTGATGATAGGTAATGTTGAGCACCTTTTCATCTACCTATTGGCCATTTTGATGCCTTCTTTGGAAAGAAAGTCATTTGTTCTCTTGACTATTTTTTAATCAGGTTATTTGGTTTTTTGCTATCGAGTTGGTGAGATCCTTATATATTTTAAATATTAACCCTTTATCAGAATTATGCAAATATTATCTCCCATTCTACAGACTGTCTCTTCACTCTGTTGATTGTCTCCTTTGCTATACAGGAGCTTTCTAATGTAGTCTCATTTATTTTTGCTTTTATTGTCTGAGTTTTTGGTATAATTTCCAAAAACTCATTGTCTAATGTCAAGTAGCTTTTCTCTTATGTTTTCCACTAGAAGTTTTGTGGTTTCACGTATTATGTTTAAGTCTTTAACCCATTTTAGTTGACTTTGGTATATTTGCTAAGAAAAGGGTTCAATTTCATTCTTTTGCATGCGTATAGCCAATTTTCCCAAAGGCATTTAAAAAAAAAAAAAAACTTTCAGGTTCAGGGTTCATTTGCAAGTTTGTTGCATAAATTGCGTGTTGCGGGGGTTTGGTGTACAGATTATTTCCCCATGCAGGTAATAAGCATAGTACCCGATGGGTAGTTTTTTGATTCTCTCCCTCCTCCCATCCTCTACCATCAGGTAGGCCCCAGTGTTTCTGCCTACTTTGTGTCCCTTGTGTCCATATATACTCAATGTTTAGCTCCCACTTATAAGTGAGAACATGTGGTATTTGGTTTTCTGTTCCTGTGTTAGTTTGCTTAGGTTATTGACCTCCAGCTCCCTCTAAGTTGCTGCAAAGGACATAATCTATTTATGTTTTATGGCTGTGTAGTATTCTACAGTGTGTATGTATCACATTTTCTTTATCCAGTCTGACATTGACGGGCATTTAGGTTGACTCCATGTCTTTGCTATTGCTAATACCATTTATTGTAGAGAGTCTCCTCTTTCTTAGATTTTGCCCAACTGAAAATATAGACTGAATCAAGATCTGCATGGACATAAAGGTCTCTTATTACAAAACCCCATGAATGAACGCTTTTGGAACTTACTAAGGGGGTAAAGCTTTGCTTCTTCCAAAAAACTGATATAAGTAAACTTCTATGAAAATAAGAATTGGAACCACAGCTTCCTTTTGGCTTTGCTAAGCAGAAAACTTAAATAAATTGGTAAGTCATTTATAATGACCACTTATAGTCAGGAGTTTTCATCCCTTTTAAAAATATATATCTTACATGATCCTGTATTTTACAATTGTAGATGTGTTAGGTTTATGGCATTTTGAGATTTTTACAGTATGTGGCTAGGTATATCTGAGAAAAATAAAAAAACTCTACTATGAAAATGTTTTAAAGATAAACTGAAAACTATTAGGTAAAAGAAGATAGCAAACAATCAGAAACCAAGACTGAGTTTTATTGCAACTGAGAATCAATATTCACTTTTTTACCTTTTGGGTATCCAAAGGCAAAATAGGAATATATGTAATATAAGCTGCTTTGTGATGTCACATTCCAGGGAAGAAAGACCCACATCTTATTAGCATCAATAATTGAACTCAAATACCTGGCCAAAGTTTTGCCAACCAGTACAATTTTTCTTTGGGTGCTGAGGGATTTGAGAGTGAGGGTGGTTAGAAAATTAGAAATTTGCATTCATATGTTTCTTAGCTACCTAAAGACACATTGTTGGATTTTAGTTTTGCTGCAGATATCATCTGACATGCTCTGTTGACATTCACCCCAATTCTGCTCACTTCTGTTATGTCCTAGCTCTGTACTTGCTGATGCTACCTATAGCATAGAGTTACCATGAGAAAAATGTTTCAAACTCAAGACACCAATCTCTTGCTGCTTAAAGGAAAACATGTGAATTAGAAAAAGAGATAGTGAGTGTGAACGAAGGATTTGCTTACACTGATTATTCTTCCTGATTACTCCTGGAAGCTAAAGGTAACAGGAAACCTAAAGTCTTTCTTATTAATCAGACTTCCAATATAATTTCACAATTTAAATGTCCTTTATTTGCTGGGTACTAGTCTCACTCACACCAAATTGAAAGTAAATTTAATGCAAAAGTGGATAGTTACCAGCTAGATTTCAGAGTTATTCAAATTGTAGAATTTTTATAGCAAAGTACATTTATGAAAAATAATGCTATTGCAATTAGGTAAAGAAAGAAATTGAGTAGCTAAAAAGAACATAATTACTCAGAAGATCTCCCTCTCTTCTGAACATCTAAACTTGAACATACATTTAAAACACTAAGAGATATTCACTTACTTATCTTTATCTAATTAGTATCAAAATAATGCCTTACCTTGATAACACGGAGCTATTCTTTTACTCAGTTCTGTTCGTAAATCAGGGGGCATTCCATAGCAACCACCAGTGGGGAGCTTATTTTCATTCTTTATGTAAAATATATTTTTCCATCTATGCCCACAAGTCTGAATAAAATAAAAGTAGACCAAATGATGTGAAAGCTGCACCCAGGATAGCTGATTTCACGATGGATCAGTGGACCAGTTCCAATACCTACCACGATGGATCCATTTTCTCCTGGCTGTCTGGAAAGTGTGACCCCCAACCACTGATTGTCTCTCTCTTCCAAACAAGTCTTTCCACAAGGTTCTCCATTAGGGCTACCTATAGCATTTGAAAATAATTTTATCATCAGTTGTATTGAAAACACTCTACAAAAGCAGATAAAACTGTGCACTCATCCCCAGTATTTTTCCGTTAACTACTTCTCTATCTTATATTCAGTGCACAATGTGAGGATAAATGTGAATTACTCTGTGCCAACATAATTATTCTCTAATACAAGGTGACTTTTGTTGTAGAAATGACCTCCGACTGGTAGCGCCATGAAGAGATAGACTCAATCATATAAGAGATAGCTAACAGGACTAGGAGTGGGAAAACCAGTTAAAGCTAATACCAGGTTGTGCAACTACAACCGCTGTGTCTAACGTTTGGAAAAGATTTAGCCATTTATCTAACAATGTAAGCAATATTATCAGAGCACTTTAAAAAATGTTTCTTCTACTGAGATATTAAGAATAGAAAGACTATAAAACATTCTCAGCAATTAAGGTACAATTTATTGGAGCTGGAAGGTGATGATTAAGCATGCGGAAAGTGGAACATAGAATTAGCATACCAATAAAGCCTTGCGTTTATAAGAAACTGCCCTATGTTTACATTTATTGGAATATGACTCATGTTTTCAACAGAGATAAAGTGATTTGGAAAACCAGATTATCTCAGTAGTAAATAAAAAACTTCAATAGACACTTTGGCAAATGCATGAATAGCCAAACATAAATAAAATGCTCATGTACTAGATAGTGCTTCTATACTATGTAAGAAGTGGTCTTCACAGTGATCATTTTTTTGTTAGCAAAAATTCTTTGCGTTATAGCTGGGTTCCTATTAAAATCCTATGTTGCCGGGCGCGGTGGCTCAAGCCTGTAATCCCAGCACTTTGGGAGGCCGAGACGGGCGGATCATGAGGTCAGGAGATCGAGACCATCCTGGCTAACCCAGTGAAACCCCGTCTCTACTAAAAAAAACAAAAAATTAGCCAGGCTTGGTGGCAGGTGCCTGTAGTCCCAGCTAGGCGGGAGGCTGAGGCAGGAGAATGGCGTGAACCCGGAAGGCGGAGCTTGCAGTGAGCTGAGATCCAGCCACTGCACTCCAGCCTGGGCAACGCAGCGAGACTCCGTCTCAAAAATAATAATAATAAAAATAATAATAAAAATAAAATAAAATCCTATGTTAAGTAATTTCAAATAAATTACTTTGGGGGAGAGTAAGATGCAGTATCCTAAGATTCCTTTTGCTGTCTTTATTTTCACCCTCTTTAGTTGGCATATGAAAATTCTATTGCATCTGTTCTTAATTCCTGGCAGTTAAATACATTAGCATCAATTTGATTGGATAAGGATGTGGAACTTGGGTTTGTTAATTTTGAACACTGGTCACTAGGTACCAAGTTTTCATGAATTTATGGTGACCATTCTCTGTATATCATTGGCACTTTGTCTCCTCCTATAATGTTGACCCCTAAATGTAGTTTCCTGGGCAAACTCAGAACCCTTACAGAGATACAGACTAATATTTTTACTTATTTTTTGGGGTACCAATGGGGGTCTCACTATGTTACCCATGCTGGTCTTGAACTCTTGCCTCAAGTGATCCTCTCGCTTTGACCTCCCAAAGTGCTGGGATTACCAGCATAAGCCACCATGCCTGGTAAGGTAATATTTGAGAAGTGAAATTATTTGTACTAAGTCTTCTGGGTAGGAGAGATTTTGTTTAAGGAATGTGGGAAGATGTTTGTTTATACTTTTGTTTTCTAAAATGTCATTGAGGAAAAACAAAACCTTTAATCACAACTGAAGTGAAGAAAATGTTTGAGCCCCTCCTCCAGAGATTCTGCTTCAGCAGGTCCAGGTGAGGCCCTGATTACCCTAGGTCAGCGGTTCCCAATCTTTTTGGCACCGAGGACTGGTTTCATGGAAGACAATTTTTCCATGGGCAGTGGTGAGGGTTGGAATAAAACTGTTCCACCTCAGATCATCTGGCATTAGATTCCCCCAAGGAAAGCACAACCTAGATCCCATACCTGCGCAGTTCACAACAGGGTCTGCACTCCTACCAGAATCTAATGCCACCACTGATCATCTGACAGAGGCAAAGTTCAGGCAGCAATGCTCACTGATCCACCACTCACCTCCTGCTGTGCAGCCCAGTTCTTACCAGACCACGGGCCAGTACCCATCCACAGCCCAGGGACTGGGGATCCCTGCCCTAAGTGGTTCTCATGGTCAGGAACACTGTTACTGTGAAATGCAGAGAATGTTTTTCTGGACAGCGTACACATAGAATAATGACAACTCCCACTAACTGGTAATGGCTTCCTGGAGAACTAGGCTGAAGGCAGGAGGACTAAGACTAGGTCTGGACAAAGAATGCTAGGGCTGAATGGCAATGGTTGCTATTAGATTTGGAAAGGAGCCTTGCTGTGGCTCAAACCTTGATAAAGAATGGTCCAGGTGGACACATAAAGTCTCCGTGTTAAATTGAGAAAGAAAGGGATGAAGACAGAAATGACAGGAAAAGAGAAGGGGAAAACAGGGAAGATGGTAGGAGGAAAAAAAAATTGTGTGTGGGAGATAAGGTCAGAAACAGGGAGTTGTTATTGTGGCTACCTGATGCCAAATCAATAGAATTTAAAGTAAAACAGAATGACAAACAAGGCATTTTCATTTTCATTACAATACAATTTTCAGTTTTCATTAAAATTGATTTTTTACTGTCAAAAATAGATAACAAATGGTAGATTCAGTCTACACGAAGTTCCTGTTATTTACTACAAGCCACGTTAATAAATACCCTCTGAAAATACTAAAGTTTTTGTGAAGTTATAGTCAACACTCAGTTAAGACAATTGAGCAAGAGGAAAATCAAGGACAGGAGAGGATGGGGCTCACAAAAACATGGTATGTTTAATAGACACTTTCATTACAATTACATCCAATATTTAGAAACAAATCTATTTTTCTAGACAAAGCCACCCAGAAGATTAAAAACAGACAAATAGTTTCGAACCACAAAATACCATGTAAATAGCTTGATGGAAATGGCCAAAAAATTATGTGCAAAAATAGTGTATTGTTATCTGTTTCTTAGCTGAACTGTTTTGTAAATTTCTAAGTGAAGACTAGACAAACTCTTGCATTATGAACTGTTATCTGTTTAATATTCTGCATTGCCTCCTCCTCGTTTTAGTTTTAGCTCCATCAGGTGGCATCACAATGTCATCACTGCCCAGGCTCACACTGAGGTTTACACACATCACAAACTACTCACTTTCCCACTTACTAACATCACTTCCCTGAAACTTCTTTCTCTCCATGTGAGTGCCTCTCAGCTCTCTGGGAAAACAGCCACTAAATCATTAGGCTATTTTAAGATGTGTCCCATGTAGTCTCACCAAAGTCCTGGGACTTTAATTCCAGTGTGGCTCATGCCCTTCCCTTCTCCTTACTGTAGGTTAAAAATAATGATTCTTAGAAACAGGAGAAGAAATAGCCCTCCAGAAGCCACAAGAAAGAGATGTTTACCTAAGAATAAATGTGGGAAGAACTTTCCCAGGAAGCCAGTGATGTGGTTCATTCACCCGTGAGCACAAGAGATTTCAAATAGAAAAACATATGGCAGGTTTGTAAGTGGGAAATTGGTGGGGTGGGGGTCAAAATGCCACTAGATGTAATCTCATATCTGTCACAATGTGGTTCCAAATAATAGTTGCCTTCTAATATACAGATAAAATTTCTGATTCATTAATTTTCAAATATCTCTTATACAGTTGTTAGTTAATCCACTCTTAGATACTGACAGATGACTCTAACATCAGTACTCAAGGGTTCTCAGACACACAGGATACGATCACTCAGAGGAAATTATGGTAAAATTGATTAATATCCTGTAGGAAGAAGTATTTTCATTTTTGTTAGGGTTAACTACATTTATTTATTTACAATGTTTCTGGCCTACTTCCAAGGCTTAGTAAATAGTGACCTCATTCATCTTGCCCAGGACTGTATCTTTGCCATAATCCCACCCCCGACAAACAGCCCAGAAATGGGTGCTGAAATGGAAAGGTCAGTAAATGAAAAACAATTCAAAGCTTCTATTATGGTTTGACTAGGCATCTTGTTTGATAAATATCTTAATTCAAAACATGTGTAAAAAGAATGAATGCACAGCCAGAAAAAAAGTTCATGAAAATAGTCATGAAACAATGATTCTTCCACAGAAGAAAAACCAATCTTAATAAGTGAGCAAATACATATACTACATTTAGATATGTTTCCCCTTTTCACTTATTATCACTGCTTTAACCATAGAGGCAGCCCCCAACAGCAATGATAATACTGAGGTAACTTTCAAGTACTGGTTACAGGCTAGAATCTGTTCAGAGAACATCCTGTAATTCCCCCTAGTGTTCTGGTTTTTTTCTTAATTTCTGGGACTTTTTCTCTTTTTATTTTTTAGAGAGTGAGGATCTCACTCTGTCACCTAGGTTACAGTGCAATGGCGTGATCATAGCTCACTACAGCCTCAAACTCCTGGGCTCTTGTAATCCTCCCACTTCAGCCTCCTGTGTAGCTGGGGATATAGGTGCCCGCCACCATGCCCAGCTTCTCTTTTCTTTTGTTGTGCCTGCAGAATCTTAGCAGAAGAGGTAAGACCGTCACATGATCAGCTTGTGATCATGGCCTTCTCCAAAGCTTTTCTCCCTTAACCTGTGTGATCCTGAGTCCACTCCTTTCCCACTCAGTACTCAGCCTTGGCTGGACATTAGAATCAATGGAAGGGAGTTTGAAACCAGTACCTCCACCTGGGCCCCACTCTTAGAGGCTCAGACTTGACGTGTCTGGGTTAAGAACCAGACATAAGAATTTTTTCGAAGCCCCCCAGGTAGTTGTAGCATATGAATGGGCTTGTGAACAATTGCTCTACGATGTAGCTCAGGGGTTCCCATATTTTGGCTTCCCTGGGTCATACTGGAAGAAGAATTGTTTTAGGCCATACGTAAGGTACACTAACACTAATGACAACTGATGAGCTAAAAA